TGAGAAAGGAAAGGGAAATTTTCCAACCAAGGAAGTGGCAGAACAGTTTTCTGAAAAGCACAAATTAGCCCTAGAAGACTAATACCAGACCTGTGTATCTCTGATGAGAAGTAGAAATTCTTCAAAGAGAGAGCAATTTTTTTACCTAGTCTTCTAACCCATGGTACAGAAATAGAAATTTCACTGCATGAAGTGATTTAAGAATTCACAGTATGGCAGACACTAAATATTAGCGACTAGAATATAATTCAGTTCTCAGTCTGAAGAGGTAGGATGCCAAGAAGTAGCTGAGTAATCACTAAACTTCAGAAAAGGAGATTGCAATGTTAAGAAAAAGTTAATTGAATAGATCTGAGAGTCAAAAATAAGTGAAATAAAATCTTTAGGTGTTTCATGGATGCTACTTAAAAATATTAGCACTGGGTCTTGCAGAGTACTGAACAAAAAGTGACCCATGAGGGAAAGTCATAGATCAGGCCAGCTGAATGCCATTTTTTCTAAGTGAAAAAAAAAAGGATATTTCACATTTTAAGTGCTAAAAAAAAAGGAAAGCCACAAAGAATGGACCATAAATAAGTAAAAGGGAAACTGGAATGGCTGAGAGTAATTAGAAAAGTAAATAACTAAGGGTATGGAACCAAACAATGTTACTGTCTTCCACTTTATTCGATGCAGGAAGCCTGTGGAAATACTTCACTGGGTTTTGTGGCACCTGGGGGTTTGTCCATAAGCGTATCTCTCTTTTTCACTTCTGGCAGGAAGGTCTGTAGTTTGTTCTAACAAGTAAGGACTTTCCAAAGTCAGCACCTTAATCCTTTTTAAACCGGCAGGAAACATTCCCTTGTCCCTTCATTTTCCAAGCAGCTCCCTTGAGCTGCCCTGTACTCATGGCTCTGTGCTGAGCTGTTGCCTCTCGAGAGATGGACCACAGTACATGGGTCAATTTGGCCTTGACTCTTCTAACTCCACTAGCCCAGACTGGCTCAGGAAAACACTAGAAGCAAGGTTATTGTGCAAGGTGTAAAGTCAGGCTTCTGTGTGCAAGGGTAGAAGTAAAACGAACAAAAAAAACCCCAATTAAGTCATTAGGTCCAGTGTTGTGAGGAAAATGCAGTGGGCTTAGCTCAGCTGTTGGCAACAATATGCAGTCTGCCATTAAAACAGATATTTTGCTGGAGATACAGAACTCCACTAGTCTTGTAGCTATATATTTTTAAAGGCTCTAGGGTGATCAAGCAAATTAAAAATGACTGTGTCAGACAAACTGGTTGAAACAACAATAATAAATAGAATAAAACGCCAGGACTATAATATCGTGATACAATAGTGTATTGTTAACACTATTTCTGTCAAAAAAGATTACATTTCACTCAACTTTTTTAGTATGGGTCAGTGCAACAAAGTGAAAGAGAAACCGTGGCATCATTTTTTTAGACTTGCAATAGTAATTTTCCAAATCTCTCTTGAAAACATACAAACGAAACTAAAAGCACAAATTGACATTTCAGTTTATCAAGTGGCAGAATGAATTTTGGAACTACTGGCCCTGGCTGCTTCGATGCCCTCACACACAGTTCACATTTCTCTTCGTGGTGCCAGTGCAACTGCCCATGTGGCTGTAGGTTGGAAGTCAGTTAGGAAGTAATTATGAGGTGAGAGATAAATATTACTCTGGGTCAAAATTTCCCTATCAGACAGAAACCAGAGAGAAGTAAACTGACAGCTTTTATTGTAGCTAATGCACTAAAGGTTTCATATTGTGTGCTGTACCGTATGTCTATTAAATAGATGGAGGAGTCAGCATTGAGGCAGCAGCTCTTGAGTATGATGCTAGGTGATGTGGGGCAGCAGAATTCACACAGGACCGTGAAGAACTTCCGCAGGACAAAAGCAAACTGAATGAAGACGTAGTACCAACCCAAATTTCAGTCTTGATAAATACTATGTAGTGTTCAGCAGAGGTAAATTTGAATGACTTTTACCTCATAAAGGGTTCAAAACCAAAACACTGCACTGAAGAAAGGGATGCAGGTTTCACTGTAAACAGTGCACCAGTGACCTGTTCAGTGTCCATCTGATGTCAAAATAAAACCAAAGAGAATGCTAAGAGGGATAAAGAATGGAACAGAACACAACAATTTTTTAAAATCCTGTTGTAGAAAAACTGAGGTATGTTAAAGGAATGAACAGTATTAAATAAAATTAAGAAAGTTGATCCAGAATTTCTAATACTAAAAGAGTCGAGGGATGCTCAAGAAAGGTGACAGGTGACCAATTTGGTTCATTTACCCAAGTGGATTTTGGAACCCACTGATACCAAGAAAGGTGCAACATTCTGTCAAGGAATGAATGAGATGTTGAATGGAACTAAAGGAGAATTGAGATGATGCCAATATTTGGTTTTTTATAATAATTAATTATAGGACTTTTTAAAAGACATGTCAAACATCATGTTTCCAGTTTAAGACAATCTCTATTATGCGTCAGCCTGAGTCCATCATGGTGGGAAGCTTTATTCTATTTTTAACTCGGGCTGGCATTACATGCACTTTTCTTCGACAATTTGAGATGATCCCTCAATTGGATAATCAGTAGGTGATGCAATATGGGAGTTTCAGTGTCCTGATGTTAGGCTTTGTATCTCTTCTCCTGTAGGCTTGCTTTGGAGAATTTGCAGGTGGATTCCCCAGCTTGTCCATGACTCCTAAGAGAGTAATGCTTTGTGTCATGGAGGGCATTTCATGAAAGTGGCGCTCCACAATATGCAGAAAATGTGTGTGCTCTGAGTACAATTTTGGTATCATCTCCTCTGCATAGTATAAGTCTATCTAGTTCCATTGAACTGAGGACCCTGTGCTGTCAAAGAGAGACAGGACACTGAGATAAAACACGTTGGATAGCCGAGAGTTCTATGTGAAAATGTAGCAAGGCTGCCTTCACTTACTTTTAATGTTTAGCATTCATGATCCCAGAACTAGCACTGGAAGCCTTAATGAAAGGAATGAAACCATAAGGCAGAATTTGATTTTAAGAAGGCATTACCAATAGGTATTCCGGTAGAGTGAGGTAGCCTGAAGGAAATAATGAAGAACAGACTTTGGAAGGAACTGGTTTTTGAAATTACATCTGAAAAGATACTGCTTGTTGTTGACACTGCATTCTTCCTTGCTTGGGTTTTAGATTTGAGAGAGGACTGTGAAGCCCTTACCATGTCTTACTGTTTGCATCATTCTTGATTCACTGCTTCCTCTTTGCCAAGTTCAACTCAACAGCTGCCCTTTGCGTTAAGATACTCTGGATGTCTTCTACATATCTGCTACACTTTTAAGTGCTGTGCAGAGTACAGCAATACAGAGTTTATCAAAATGATTGATGTATGACACAAGGGAAATTAAAATAGAACTGTTTAGAACAGAATTTTATACATCTACATTGAAGAAAATACAGAGCCAGATTCTGTTACTTCTACTTATATGAAGTAAGAATTTTATTAATTCAGAATTGAATTGTGTATTAGCAGTACAGTGTATTGCTATTGAACTAATATTATGGTGGGACTGGGCACAGAGACAGGCAGCGGATCATCTCTGACTTAGCACTCATACAAAGTACCATGGCCAGAATTTTCCAAAGAATCTGGTTCCTGCAGTAGATATGTTTTGATTGAAGGTTATCACCTTTTCTGACAGCAATATGAATTGCCAGGTTTTCCTGGCATTCCTCCCAGTAAGGAGTTTTGAAGATGTAGGCCAAAAGTGTAACTGTGGGCAATCAGAAGTACTCACCGTCTTAGAACACCCTGGTGATACCTGAGAAGAAACTTTGGAAATGTTTTCATTGTACTTTTCAGAAAATATCTCTGCATGTAAATTGATCACTAATTTTCTTATTTCCAAAAGGAGGAAGTGAAGAAATAAGTAAAATGTAATTGGTGCTTTCAAAATCCTCTGTGAAACCCAGACAGTGAGATAAGAATGTGGTCTTGAAATATTACGCTTCACTTAGGCTTTACTCTTCCTTCTCCCTTCCCAAGAAAGCTATAGCAGGAAAGTGATCATAAATCCCTGTGTCCACTTCATGGCATGGTGCCTCAAATGATGAATGCTGTCACATTTCGATTTAAAAAAATGGAAGTCCATAAAATAATAAAATCAGTTTAGTGAATTGAATGTTGCTTCCTTAACATTTTTCATCCTGAACTCATTTAGTAGAGGAAATGGATATTTCATCAGACATGGATTTGACGTTCCATCACATTATACAGTAAACAGTACAAACGATGTTATTTTTTTAAATGGAGAAGCTGGAAGAGCTCAGACAGTAGCTGCTGTAAGGCACTGGTTATCTCATTTAAACAGATATTAAATGTGGGTGCCAGTGGTGTGATCATCAGCTGCTTCCCACTTTGTGAATAAATTGCTTAGGAGGAGTCTTTTTGCCTACCAGATGTGACCTAGATTTAGATTTCCAAAGGCAAAAAAAAAAAAAAAGTCTATTGTGTGAAAAACAATTGCGGGTAAAATGCATGGTAAATGAGCTTATCTCACTTTTCCAGGTGTTTAAGCTAATATGTTATGGAATTACCGCTTCATTTATGAAAAATAATTGAGGAAAATGTTCCAACAAATCAAATTTGGATAAAGGCTTAGGGTAGTTATTGTGTTGTTAGCGAGTTTCTAAATGGCAGAAAGAAAAGGGAGCCAGCGCAGATAATAAAAATATAGAAATATGTGGATCTGTGAAGAGGCTCTTATGAAAGGGTCAGGACTGGCAGTGGTATCCCACCTGCGTTGGGGGCTTGCAAAATGTCATGGAACAATAGGAAAAGTTATATTCCTGTCGATGCGTGTGAAAGCAGGGTTTTTCTTAAAAGATCAAGCATTGATATCTGTTCACCCTGGATAAGACTAATGACATTGGTAGGTTAAATGTATAAACATCCAAAGTATAACATCCTTATTCTTCTTCTCTCTCCTCTTGTCCTTTTACTGATTCCACAGGGGCTGCCACTCGAAAACCAGACCCAGAGCCTGAGAAGCAGACCGACCACACTGTTAAAATTGCTGGAGTCATTGCAGGCATCTTGCTGTTCGTCATTATATTTCTGGGGGTTGTGCTGGTAATGAAGAAAAGGTGAGCAATTAGTAGATGTTTTCTACGTACATATTCGTGTCACAGCATCTCCTACAGCAGTTCTCAGTTTGATATTGGCAAAGGTATCCAGCCACCTTCGTGCCCTTTGCCACAGAGTGTAGGAAGTACTGCTCCCTCCCACTCCCAAAGCTTTGTTGGGTTTTTATAAAACCACGGTATCTGTTTCATCCCACAGCATTTTCTATGACTTAATGTTTGTGGCTTTGTTATAGAAGAAAACCAACTCAAGGTTAATGATTCTAGCACTTTATGCATTAGTACTGCATGATGCCCTCTAGTAATAGAACAGTATCTCTACCCTGGAAGTGTGAGTCTCCACTCTATTCAACAGATCAGCTGAAAGTTAGGTGTAGTTTCATTCTTGGATGTAAAAGAAATCCTCAGTCGAACAGCCACTAGAGCTAAGGTAATTTGTGCTAAGAATGGGGTCTGTATTGTTCTGCATAAACTTCATTCCCTGAAAACAAATGAAAATGTTACAACATTGCTGAATGTTCCCAAATGTGGTGCAACACACACACACGCATTGAGATTGTTTTGCTTTGAATATCATTTGAAAATTGCTACATTAGAAGCGTAAGGCTTTTAAACTTGGTTGCCTTTCTCAACACTGTGAAAGGAAAAATAATACGGGGAAAAATATCTCATAGCTAGAGAGGTGGCATGGGTAAGAAAAAAGTCCATGTGATGATAGAAGCTAAGTCTGGGTTGAGAGAAATTCATGAGCAGATAGAATTAAGGTTTTAGGTTGCATCCTGAGCAATGTGAGATTTGCAGCTGTAGAGGTGGGACTGGGAACATGAGCGCTATGTAAAGGGGCTGAGTCACGAATTCGGCTTCCACGTCTTCCGTAGTCCCCTTAGTGTCCCACAACCCCTTTCCTCCTTGCCATTCGCCCTGTATCATCCCCTTTTCTTCCTTTGAGAGCAGTCTTGCCCTGGTTTTGCTCACCCCAGCACTATGCGATTTAATTGTACATTAACTAGTTTGGCTGCCTGAAACTCTCCCCGAATTCGAAGAGCGAGCGGAGGTGCCCAGCTAAGGAGGGAGCTGCCTGGCAGTGCCTCAGGGCAGGCAACAGAAGTAGCGACTTTTCTCTCTCCGTGAAGGCAGAAGCAGGGCCGTGGGTGAGAAGGGCTCTGTGCAGCGCAGGGCGAGCTGTGCCAGGGCTGAGGGCTGGGCCGTGACAAGAGGTGGGTAAAGCGGTCCCCAGCTGCCGTACAGGAGACACGGAGACCTGAGCCCCAGGGTGAGTCTGGCTGGGGCAAGGAAAGCCGCCCAGGAACCGAATGTTCTCAATAAAGTACAGGGTAGCGAGTTAAAATCTGTTCTGACTTTGCAGTACTTTTTTCTTCCCACTTCTGATTCCTTGCATCATTCATACCTTTGATTTTAACAGCTGAACTCCCAAACTCCTCCCTAGGGCCAGACGCAGCACTTGGCATGCAGGGAGGAAGGCTTCTCACCTTGTCTGGCCAATCCTTCTTCACACAATTGCGGATCGGCATTCATCACTCCCTCTCTTCCAGTTCTGAGCTTCTCCTTAAGCGTTTGCACCAAAGGCAGAATATATTCACCCAAGGGAGACAAGTTCTTCTTGATCTTGAAGGGAGAGCGTTGCAAAGTGATCCAAACAGTTCCAAAGTAAATAAGGTGTTGGGGTCTCTGGCTAAATGGGTGCTATAGCAGCTCTTGCTCCATTCTCTAGGGAAAAGCTCTTTGATAATCTAATTGTTAGAGGCAGGAAGGCTCGAATCCTAAGCGTTTGCATGTTAATGCAGAAGGATACTCAGTTCCTTCTGTCTACCACAGCACAGTAATTATTATTCACAGTAATTCTGTTGTTAGAAGAAAAGTGCATTATGTGAGCTTCTGTGGGGTTTGGAATAAATCTGCTTGTGACAGAGATCAAACTATTGAAAGTACAAGTCCAGGAACTCTGTTACCAAATACATGCAGTTTCATTGTGTAGTGCAGCAAGAATGATACCAGTAACTTAAACATATCCCAGAATGATGCTGCAGCCTTGAACAAAACAAACTGTGAAATGAGTTGAAGTGAATATTAAAAAGTAGGAATGGTTCATCTGTGTAGCAGGATGTGACTAGGCTTTAATGAGAGTTTCAGGAGGTAGGTGTAGTGTGTCCCAGACCTCTAAAGCAGATGCTGTAGTGTAGGTCTTGAATACAATTACACTCATGACTTAAGCGAAAGATGAATGAAATTATTATTCAGGAAAAGATGAAATAATGAAAAGAAAATAAAGAAAAAATCTTAATGAAAAGATTATTCAGTAGGTTGTTATTGGTGCTTTAATTCACTATGCTGCCGAGAGCCCCTGTGGTTTCACCTTGATTCAGTTGCTGTGTATACATTACGCACTTGAAGAAAATGTATAAATCACTCTGCAAGCTTAGTATAACGGTAGCGGTTTTGCGGTTTTATGATGCTTTAGGTGCTACTTTGCGAAACAATCTTGTCAAGCTAGCATGTTGTTTGACTACTGCACTTGATAATTTTATTTCATTGACTTTATCAGGAGTTTTACTAGAGTAAAGATCTGAGTGAAAAATTAAATAGCACCTTGTCATTTGGTGGCAACTTTCCCCCAAGAACCACTTTCCTCTCTGCACTTGTATGGGCAGACTTTCTGGGCTACAGTGCTAGGTTTGACGGCACTGAGTCTGCGTGCCCTGAAACTTGTCTTGCTTGGAGTTGGCTACAGCAATATCCCCTTCACACTCCACTATCCCAGGGCACGTCCCAAGGCATATACCGTCTGCTATTCATTCTTTCACAAAAATGAGTCCTTGTAGACTTGATCTCCAGATCTCGCCAGTAGATTAAATCTACTCTGTCTTTGGGGCTTCACAGTGCTTAATTAACTTAATTTCAAACCATTTCTTTCCATTGTCACAAGAATTGGGAAGTGGTTTTACTGTACGTGATAACCATGATGTTGTCCAACGTGTTCCTTTAATAGCCATCTCATTTCATCCAGCAGCTGTTCTTTCCTTGGTTGGTGCCAGGCACCACAGATTTTCACAGATCAGCCTCTTGGACATTTAATTCAGTAGCCAAGTAGACAAGACCAACATTCAAAGCAGAGTTTTCAGTGCAGCACAGACATGCTTTGGATATGGTCACTGTCAAAGCAGCAGGTAGAGAAGTTCTACAAATATCAGTAGTCATTAAGCATCGTTTTTAATTTCACTTTATAGGGGTTTTCTGAAGTAGTTATATTATAAATTATAAACTGGGTCACAGAGAGATTAGGTGGCCTAACTATTCAGCGTACGGTATGGAGTCACTAGTGAGGGGAGGAACATCATGGACCCTGAAACATTTTCTGTGTTTACACTCAGTCTTTGACTAAAGTAAACCAGATTTGTATGCTTGTCACCTGGGTCGGGGAAGACTGTTAGTGCTTCCGTGTTTTTCTCCCCACTTGATTGTTCAGAGTTCTTTATCTGTTCTGTTCTATCTTTTCTTTAACCATTTAACCACATTCCTGCATAAAGATGTCGTGTCATGTAGGCTAGGAACCTGCAAGCTATCCCTAAGACCAATATGGACATATCAATGAGATGATTCTTCTCTGTGAAGTCAGACTAATGCCAGTAGGCTTTCCTCTCCACAGCTGCGCTCCAAATCTCTCTCTCCAGATTTAACCCAAAGTCAGTGAAAACCAATACATGTGTTTCCACAGCATTACTCTACTATAAAGTGGATTTTGAATCTGATCCTGAATATTAAATCTCAGACAAGGCCCTTGATCTCTGCCAGCCTTTGATATACCTGCACAGGACTTTATGAAAAAAAAAAACTACAGCAGGTAAATTCACCTTTTGGTCAACTTAAAGCAGAGCAGTGCAAATGAGAGAACTGTTCCCAGAACCTTTGGAAAAGCAATAGCAATTAAATCAAGACTTGGAAAAATCAGAACCTTACTGCTTTATTCTTTTCTCTTTTCCTTTTTTTTTTTCTTTTATATCCTATTTCAGTTAAGTTTAAAAAATATACAGAAGTTGGCAAATTAGATTTATTGGTCCAAGGTTTGCTTAAAAGTAGGTATGTCTTTGGGGAAGCTGTTTCTTTTGGGGCTGCCATCTTGCTGCTGCAGTGGGAGCGCAGTAAGGAAATGGTTATTAAAATCAAATTACATTGGCTTCTGCTTCAGTTGTAGAACGGAGTTTCTTCTGATCATTGCATTTCTCCGTAAAAAGGTTATTTTCTTTTGCCTATCTTTAGTTTCTGTTTTCAGCTGTCTCTATGCCTAAGCCTTCCAGTAGTTTCTAACATAAGTAATTGTGGCGTCTGTTTAACTCGGAGACCCTGGTTCTCGGCAGCGGGTAAGGAAGGGTTTTGCACTCGGTGGAGCTGGGCTGGGAATGCATTGGTCCCTCTCCCTGATAGCAAATCAGGCTGTTCAGTTATACACTATTGCCAACAATTTCAAGCAGTTAGGATAGAAATTGGAGATAATAGGGCTGAAGGAAAAATCTGGTCTTCTCCCAGTGCTACCGCTGAACCTTGTTTTTCCCTCTAGGCCAGCTACAAAAGAGAGATGATGAAAGAAATCTCTGTGGTAATTACACCATTCCAGAAGTTTTCCCTTCTAGTGGGACAAGCCTCCTGCAGCCAACTGCTTTGGTTTTGATAAGTTTTATAGTGGGGCCTTATTTTACAAGTGATATTTACGAAATTTATTGATGTCTTCAGTCCTGAAGGATATGAAAGTGCTTTATATTATCACTATACATAGAAACAGGTTTTTGACATAAATTTACCTCTGTAATGGGAAGTGACTGAAAAGCCATGCACAGAAGAAAATTTGGCCAAGGTTGGCCAAAATCTTTGGGTCACTCTCTTTAACAGAAAAAGAGTTTTCTTACATAGAGAGAGAGTAAGTCTGTATACATTATGTAGGAAGTAAAATAGAACTTCTCCATATTTCTTAAAAAAGCTAAATCTTTTCAATTGTGAATCGTGCTTTTGCATGTGACCTGAGGACTCGCAAATCTAAAACTTTCCGTTTCTGTAGGTTTTTTATTTATTCTTTTTACCTGTTTTTTTCAGACTCTCTATTCTTGAGAGTTAAAAGTGCTCTTTTTCAAGGATTTTCATATGGAGAATCTCACAGCTGTAACAATAGAAAAATAACTGGAGCTTGGGACTTAATTTTTCTCATACAAATTTTTAATGGGACATTGACACAAACTAAGCTCCTGGATTTTCAGCATTCTTTTCATAAGGTATAATTTATCTCTATAACATATTTGGCAGAATTCTGCATATAAGCACCAGCAGTGCTTCACTGATTAATAGTATTTATTGTTGTTTCTCAAATTATTATACATCTTTTAGAAGTATGAGAACATTTGTACTAATTACATTAAATCTCTGTCATGGCAACGTATGGCAAGAAACTGGGTTGGCAGTATCATGAGATCCTAAATGAAAGTGAGAGAATGAGTAATTCTGAAAAGAAGGGCAGGGGGAGATATAATTATGACTGAACCAGAAAACAAACCCTTGCTAATAGAGCAGGTAAGTTAATCTGCTTTGATAGGACCTGATCCTGTGCTCCTCACTGAAGGTGCTGGGGTATGTGCTGGTGTAAGAAGATTATAACTGTTTTGCAGCTTTCCTCTTACTTTATTCTTAGATATCTTTTAAAACTCAACTTTAACAGGTGTACATTTTTGCAGATGTGCCACGTGATTAAATATTCAGTATCTAGCCTCTTGTGTTTGAACAATACTGTTTGCATCAGAAAAATGGGAATAAAAACTGGGAAATATTTCTAACGGCATCTTCACACAAAGAAGATGAGAGAGAAAATTTGATGAAAGCCTAGTTTTCAAAGGGATGCCTGAAGCATGTAGCTAGAGGCAAGTTAACGTTAGTTATAGTCCTTTGCAAGGCCTGTTTACATGTTTCCTCTGTAGTCAAAGGGCTGTATGCACGTGCTGTAAAAATTACAAATGCCTACATGATTCCTTTCAGTCTTTTATCTTAGGAACATATGAATGCTACTTGACGTTATGGTCAAAAATGTTTTAACATCTGCAGCTCTGTTTAATTGCAGTCAATATATGGAATTTGTTTAGGTTGGAACTTGTCCCTTTTGGAGAGCTGTGGTCCTGCTTGTAGTGGGCTCATAACCAAGGGAGGGAGAGATGTAAAGCAGAAGAGCATGGCTGGAGGGCTCCTATACTTTGTGCTCATGGAGAGCATGTCTGGGTGGAGGATCTGGCTGTGCAAGAGGTGATGCAGGAAAGACTGACTGGGTCCCTGTTTCTCAACATGGTGGTGCTAGGTCTCCAACTTGTTCTTTGTGACATTCACATGGGCAGAAATAACAGGGATACAAGATCAGCTCTTATTTTTTCCTCTACCACATGGGGAGATACCACCAAAATAATTTTAACCAGCAAGGATAGCCTTTTTATTTGTGTGGCAAGAAATAATTTTTTCTTCAGAATTTAAATGGTTATTTAAAAAGCTGAAATATTAAAAAAGCTCTGGCCACTGATTTTTCCCCTCTGGAAGCAAGTTCTAGTCGTGTCAGTGGCGGAACTGATTTCTTTAAGTAAAGAAAGGGATATGCAAAGATTCTACAATACTGTGTCAGGAACAGGAGCTACTTAATACGTGTTCTGAAATTCTGCGTTGTTAAATCTCTAACACCATGTTAGAAGTTCCATATCCTTATCCCTAATGCAGTTGAGGTGTAATCAGAAGTGTTTAATCACTGTAATTGGGAGTGTTTGTGTGTGTAGTATATACAGAGATAAATATACATTAAATATCTAACATTACTTAGATAGTAGGTGTACTTTAAGGTGGTTTAATTTAACAGTTGGAGATGCATTATATATTGTATTGCTTAAAGTTTTATGGAGATTGGATATGTCATCTGTCTGTTCCAGACACATTGCATGATATGCCCAGATGCGCATTCTTGCTGCCTTTCATTTATGTCACCAGTTCTGGTCTCAGTTTCATCTTGATTTTTCATACATTAATATTTGGCTTTTCTTTCCTTCCATTTCATCTTTTCCACCACTGCCTAATCCTTCCACCATCATGGCAGAAGAAGCTATCACTCCTACACTTATTACCTGTAAGTAACTTCTTTGTCGTCAGAGACACACTTTCTGCCATGTTGTTCCATGCATAAGTAGTGAATGCTAATATTGAAAGTTCCTTTATAAAAACAAGTTTTGTAGAAGTTTTGCCAAGGTAAAAGCAACATGGTCAATAATGTAATTAAATATTTAGCTTTATAGCAGTTTCTTATGCTTCGTATTGTGCATTAGAGTCCTTTGAATATAATTATGTAAGAAATTTTCTTAACTAAAAGGTAGTAGGTAAATATCACTACCGTGTCTATGAGAAATTTTCATGCCTAAGTAACTGTTTTTAGAATTTATTTAGTAGTTTCTTTCTCATTTGTTTTGTTGAAAATATAGCATTGGTTAGACATGTACAAGCATTTCCATTTGTTGCTGTGTACATATTAGTACTTTTTCATGAATAATGATCATGCATAAACATCATGAGTTACCATTTCTGGAGTGAATTTCAAAGGAGAGAGCACTAAAAAATGAGGGCAAGATGAAGCATAACTTTCAGTAAGTAATAACTTTTCATTTTGATACAATCCTTAGTAATACCATTATGTGATTCTTTATTTACCCAAAGCCTTTGTTTCATTCCCTGCTGACAGCAGGGGATGAATGAGAAGGGTTCTTCTGTGAATTTAGCAAATCCCTTTCTGAGGCTATCCGCCTTTTCTCACTTTCCAGGTACAAGGAGTACATGATAGTTTTTGGATTAGCAAAATATTAGGGGTCTTAATTAGTCATGAAATGAGATGCATTTGAACTTGTTTAGTCTTGTTGCCCAGCAGCAAAAATCAGCTGTCCAGTAGATACCTGTCTTCTTTAAAGCTCAGGTTTAAAGGTCATGGGAAACTAGGAGGTATTTTTATATAGTTGCAGAAGATGGGTGTTACTTGCATGAGACAGACTGTAGTACTAGTTTTCAGGTACATCTAGTAGTAGCATGCTCTTGAAAGGAACACTTTTCAGTAATGTTTTTATTTAAAAACTATTAAGTTTCTCATGTTCCTTTTTAATTGCTCTTGAAACTTTTTAAAAAAATGTTTTTAGTTAATATTTTGAAAAAGCATCAAACATTCATTTGTAGAATTTGTGGAAAAATTAGTAAATGTTTTCTAACTTGAAAACTTGGTAAGCAGAACCGTGCTTCAAATGAATTAAGGCGACTAAAATTTAAACCTCTTAGTTGAAATTTCCCAAGACTTCTGAATATATTGAAACTGCTCATTCACTTGGTAATTCAGATTTCATATTATATTATTTGACACTTTACATACACGTCAATTTTTTTAAACTGTTCTTTAAAGCACTGTGTTAATGTAAAGGTCAGAAAAAGATATCTCTTCCAGAGATACAGTATTTCAAAATTTGTTTCGCTTCCCAAGGTGAAAAGACCATATTTTCCATGAAATAGGCCTTAAAAAAAATTCAGTTTGGGACCATTTAAATGTTGTTTTTAAAATGTCAAGAGTATAACGTAGTAAGTCATATAGTAGGTTGTTGCCATAATAAGTAAATATATTCAAATTAATATTTTAATGTGATTCATGTCTCAAGGCTAAGTCAAAAAACAAAATTGAAACAAGTGGAACATTAAATGAAACACTGTTTCATTATTCAAAGAAATTGGATTATATCTTTTTTTTCTTTTTCCAGTGACACTGGAAAATATATGAATTATAATGTTTCTATGAGTTTTACGAACAGGTTTTGTCCCTGGTTTTGCAATCATAAGACTGCTAATAGTGGACAGAATAGGGCTTCTCTTAATTATTTGGAATACTCTCACAGCGGCTTCAAGAAACGATCTGTCTTTTTGTTAGTGTGCTACAAATTCAGCAACTTTCTAGATTGGGTGCATTAACTCCTGCAAAAGAAATTGCATGATCTTGACTTTGTATTGTTTTGCTCCCTGTCTGGCGAAAGAGGGGAAGAGCGAGCCCTGAAAAGAGCAGACAAGACCGGCTCCCGATAGGAGGAAATATTTTGGACCAAATTCTCCACCTGTTTATGCACCACGCAATTTCACTGAAATTGGTGGAAATCTTAGATGAATGCAGAACTCATTACAGTTTTATTTTTAGCTGAGGAAGTTGGTATGGATTATAAAATGTTCTATATTTTGAGAAACATAATTTGAAGTACTCTGCCATTGCTAATTTACCACTTCTATACTGAGTATCATATTCAAATTTGCTGATTAGTCATTGTAAATGCAAGCTGCAACATCCAAGTGAGCATCCATGCACTGAAATAGTTACTATTGTCTTGTGTGCTGCTTTCCTTATGTGCTGTGGGCTCCTTTTCCCTAGGAGACTGCAATCTCTGCCACTTCTAGATCCATCCTAAATTAAAATTAAAAAAGAAAAAATTGGCAGATGCCTGGAGCTGCTGATGAATCATCAGAGGTGGACCTACAGCTGTGCATATTTGGCAGAGAATTGTTTCCATCTTATTTTGTGTTTACTAGTTAGCCAGTCAAGAGACATTACAGAAAAGAAGTTGAGTACTGCTATTCAGAATTGTGCTTCTTTTTAATGGGCTTAAATGCCTCTGCCAGCGCCTTTCCTCCCACTCTTGCTTTCCTGAGAACTGGTGCATTTTTTACCTTGCACCTCAGGCATCATATTTTTTTTTTTGTCTGGCTGTAGTTAGTCCTGTATGAGGTTTTTTGTTCTTAAGATTAGAGCAAATTTAATAGTGCTCATTAACTCTGCAGCAGGTCTTTTGACTTTGCAGTCGATTCCAGGTGGGAAAAAAGGAGAATGGAGATGGTGTCATTAGTGACACTTGTAAGGACTGGTGTTCTCAGCATGGCAGCTGGCGCTGGCACGACTGCTTTCTCCTGACACGTTTTCTGATGGGCAAAACCACTGCAACATTGGCCAGAGAAGGAAAAATACATTAGTAGCTTATTGGGTAATTGGGGTTAAATGAACTAGACAAGCCTGTTGTTCAGGTGACAATGAGCACCAATGTGCTGACTGACAGCCATTAACTTTTATATTTCAGATTTTCATTTTGATAAAGATTCTGCCCTTGGAGATCATTAATCATTAGTCAGGAGCTAACAACTAGATTCATGCGAATTCAAGCATCAGACAAATGACATGAGTGCTTGGACCATCTGAGTTTAATCGAGACACTGGCACCTGATCGAGAGTTTGGGCAAGTCAGTTTACCCCAAATTCTGGGGCACATCGTTACAGATTGTAGCTGTTATAAGTAGCTTTCAAGAAAAGGCTTCATTGCATTGCTAGGAGTAGGATGTGTGCTCAATTAAAATACAAAATTGTGAAGGTAGCTTTTGATGTTGTCTCTCAGTTTGAACTTGGTATCAAAATGGTATGTTATGATTATTATTGAAATGAAGCACTTACGCAACAACAGTGCTGCACAGCAGTTAAGTGCATACTGTTATTCCATTTTTCTGCCTTTTCACAAGTCATTTCAACTTGTGAAAGGTGAAGTAGGGAAATAGGAGACAATTATTGCCAAGTATTCTTATAAAATAGTGAACATGTTGAGCTCTTAATAGTAGGAAATCTGATATTGTCTATCCCAGTACTAATCATCTAGTTAGGTGACTTAGGACAGAAGTGCATCACAGGTACGTCCTCTGTATGGCAATCTCAATCCAGAAGCCTAATACAATGCTGAAACATTACTAAAATGGACTGTAGAGGACTAGAGGTTCTATTGCCTGGTACTTTGTTTGTGACTCAAAGAGGACAAAATTCCTCCTAGAGGAAAATTAATTCTGCAAACATTGAGATTTTTCATATAAATGTAAATAAAACCATACCCTCCTCTTCATGAGAATGCGATAGGTTGGGGCCCAGTTGAAATACGCTTTTCCTGTGTATCTGACTTGAGCTCAGGAGCCTGGGAGTCTGTTCTCAGTTTAGTTATCTCTGGGTCTCTCGCTTCGCTAGCAGATTTTCAGTGTTTGCTTCTGGAGCTCTATACAGAGACTGAATTTGTGGCTCATTTCCCCAATCCTGTTGCGATTGACCTAGTACTTATGGCAGAAAGCACAAGGTTAGCAGATTTGCAAAATGACCCTAATAATCAGAGTCATAGAATTTCCAAAAAATCCAATGGTGTCAAAACTCAGAACAGTGATTTCTAGATAATTCCAGGAAATATGCAGTCATCATGTTTAAAACTTCAGTAGTAATTTGAAAATAATGAGGGAGGTTAGAAACAGTCCTGTATTCTCATCTGCACCTGCCCCTGGAACTAGAACAAGTTCATCAGTTTGCATCTTGCAGATGGAGGAGAGCACTGAACAGAAAGACATGAATGTGTTTGAACTGTTTGGTGTGTTTGATCTGTTCGACTACGCCTGTGATCTCTTCTGAATCTTTAAATATGCATAGTTACATAGACTTGTATCATAGAATCACATAACCCAAAATAAACATGGATTTCTGTAATTGTCTTGTAAACTAGACTTAAATGATTTGCGGATGTCCCATGAGTTTTGTTGCATCTGGCAAAGTCTAGAATACCAACATATTGAAATCTTTGGATAATATGCAGTGCCCAAAATAGCAAGGAGGGTGTTTTACTAAATCCTCGTCACTGAAAAATACATTTGTGGGCCATGTGCCATATGCTTTGAGTACAGAGGTATGATATCTAGCGTTCATGTAGAGATTTTAAGCGATCTCAGAATTGGAATTTTGTTTTTAATTAAAATACACCACATCATTTTTGAAAACGTATCTGAAGTCCTTATTCCTTATTCTGATTCCTTGTATCTTCTGATTCTTTTGGATCTGATTGTGTTGCTTTATAGCCAAGGCTTACGTTTCCCCTTTCTCTGTAGAAAAAAATTTAAATAATCCTTAACACTCAGACCACCAATAAGTAAATCCTTTTTTTTTTCTTTTCTTTTTTTTTTTTAGTTTTATTAGCTCTGTCTGAAGTATATGAGCCCCTCTGACTATATGAAATAGCTTTCTTGAGGTGCAACAGAGATCAGATCATTCGT